TTTAAATCACTAACTAGTTTATTTTTTCTAATTAAGCATTTGGTGGTTAGGTTACAAAGCCTACTTTTGTTCTATTATAGTGATGGTATACTAGAAGCTATCTTGATTGGATTATCCTAATTTGAGCTTCTTGTCTGTAATATTGATATGGTGCATGTAGCTTTTCGTCATACTTTTTTCTCTTCAATATTTGCCGTAGTTTCTGTTCCCGAGGAGTGGTCAATACTCTGATCTAATATGCGATATGTATCAATATGACTTGAGGTAGTGGAGTTCGACTTGCAGAAGATTATCCATCGGAATTCATGAGCAGTTGTATTGTCTGATCTCCTTCATCCCTGATATTCTGTGGGTGCTGAAGATTAGTTTGACTAAAATCCAAATTGACCATAGTATCAAGATAGCTCACTCTTAAGTGTTACCAGCTTACACCTAAACGGCTAAATGACTTGGTTGAATAGTACAGTTCTGAAACTAGATTTCATTGTTGGATACAAAATTAAACAATGCTGAAAATTGTTAGAGCTTAGTACTCTTGATGAACTAGAGCCAAACTTGTTTGGTGTTCTTTATTTACTGTATGGACACTCATCACATGAGACTGAAATGTATACTTCAGACTTGAGATTGTATGGATTTACCATTAATAAATAACGGCATGTTAGTTTTGAGCATTTGCAGAGTTTGATAGTTTGTTTCTGTATATCTGAATGTTAAAATCTTATTAAATTGTGCATTAAAATAATTCTCGTGTCAACAGGGCTTGAGTTTGGTGTTGTGTTCATATAATGGTGAAGATATCCTAGTTTCTTTTGGAGGATACAATGGGCGGTATAATAATGAGGTGAGGTTGCTAATAATTCTTCTTTTCTGGTACAGATGAACTTTTTTCTTTCTCCTTTCCACTCTCAGATCAGACCTTATATGGCAGCTTGTGGGTTGCTTGGTTTCTTTATCCCTGTTATGACTACTTAATATCTTTGTTGTGGCTTTGCTTATTCTTTATAAGGTCAATGTATTGAAACCGAGCCACATATCAACTTTGCAATCTATGGAGAATCCTGTACCTGATAGTATTTCAGCAATGCAAAATGCTACTAATGCCACGAGGGATTTGGAGTCAGATGTTGCAACAGTCCAAGAAGGAAAAATCAGGGAAATCGTGGTGGACAACATTGAATCTGAACCAATGGTATTATGATATATCAAATATGTTATCTTGCATTAATTGTTAGTGATATGGATGTGAGTTTGGTTGCTTGGCTTTAGAAAAAAGAACTTCGGTTTAGTTTGGTTAACGTCTTTTATACACAGCTGGTATGTTGGTCTATAAAGCTGGAGTTCGAAGTCCAGATATGATTTGTACTCTGATTAGTATATAAATATAAATATGCATGCCTTAATCTAGTAGGTGAAAGGATGTGCTTTTCAAGCAATGAACTCCATTGAAGTGCTCAGCTCTGATTGATTGAATCCCTTCAAAGAGATATAACCCATTGCACCTACTCTTATCTAATTAGAATGCAATGACTATGAATTCATTTTGGATATGTAGCTTGGGCTTGGACAGGTACACAGACACAGTCCAAGTCTTGCAAACTGATGATTTTTATAAGTACACATGCATGTACTTAATGCTATTGATATGGGATCTTCAAAAATTTTCCCTTCTCTTACTTGTTGCAACTGACAATCCACTACATTGTCACATTCTTTTTTATACTTTCTTCAGTCACAATACTTGTTCTGTATGATCATACTCTTCTCTGCTATCATTTTGTTTGTTTTTTCCTTGTCTTTCCCTTGAGACTTGTTCCTACGTCTCATCTTGCAGGTGAACAAAGTTGAAGAAACTAGTGAACGACTTTTAGCTGCCCTCAAAGCTGAGAAGGAAGACTTAGAGTCATCTCTCAGCAAAGAGAAGTTGCAAACGCTTCAGCTGAAGCAAGACTTGACTGATGCTGAGGCTCGCAATACAGATCTTTATAAGGTAACTACTCCTTCAGTTTGATAAGTCTGCTTCTTAGAGTGTTGGCAAATACTTAGGCAGTTTTTGCTTCTTTCTAATTCGATGGAACTTGGGCTTACATTTTTCATCTTGGTTTTCTTCTTTCTACTATTATCTTTTGCACTTTAATGATGCTTAGTGAGTTAGTAGGCAACTTGTAATTTATGGTTCCCTTCCGCAAAAAAAGTGAATTTGTCTGGAACTCTGGAACTGTTCTTCCAAGGCACCTTTTCATGTTTCATCTGTCTGTATTCCATTTTCCATTGCAGTTCCTAGTGTATCTAGATTAAAGCAATTACTAATTTTCACTGTTACCGCTGAAGAAATGATCGAGTCACTCCCCTTTTTTTTCTTTGGTTTCTTAGTCATAAACTCATAATAAAAGTAATATCAATTAATGTGCAGAACTAGTGTCAAAAAAACATTTGGTGATCGGGAAAAATATCGGCATTATGCATCCTTTTTGTGATTTGTTGTTTCAAGTGCAATCGTCTCTTTCGTCTTCCAGTAGAGGTCCTTAATTTGCTTCCCGGCAATAGGGACACCACTGGGCATGACCCAACAGTAACATTCAGTTTCAACTATGATTCTCTTAATTATGCAGGAGCTCCAATCTGTACGTGGTCAACTTGCTTCTGAACAATCCAGATGTTTCAAACTAGAGGTATGGAATAGTTAAATTAATTACAACATATTAAAGAAAACTCCTGTTTACACTTCTTCTTTTTAAAATCCTTTTCTGGTGGGTGGGTGGGGGTTTTCCTGACCCTTATATACCGGAGAATTCCAAAGCTGAGAATAATATAAGGTATTGTAACTAAATGATGAAGATTTACCATATATTCTTAGCATGTGTCTCCCACTGTACACCCACCTACTCATGATACATGCATATTGCAGATTTAGAACCTTGGAGTAAGACAATAGTTACTTAACATGGAGCTGTAGTTGCTAGAATTACTCAGGCATGTGGTTTTTCTTTCTTAATTAAGATGTGAAGTAACCAAATTTAAGCTATTTCAACAGGTTGATGTTGCGGAGCTAAGACAAAAGCTACAGACTCTGGAAAGCTTAAAGAAAGAACTTGAGCTACTCCAACGACAAAAAGCTGCATCAGAGCAAGCCTTGAATGAGAGGCGAAGGCAGAGCTCTGGTGGAGTATGGGGATGGATTGCTGGAACTCCTCCTAATCAACAAGATGATGCTTGATGCAATAAGTTTGATAATAGAAAACCAGTTTTTCATTGATCATTTTTTATTAAAAATATTTTTATTTTGTTAGTTGTTCTTTTCACAGATAGAATAAGATATGGAGTCGAGAATTCTTTTAGGGTGGAGGGAAGTAATGTCTTTTGTATCAGGGCAGGCGGGACTTTTGTTGTATAATTATGAGTGGCTACTAGTGCTACTTATTTTTTGGTCGAGTATTCACCAGAACTATTCTCAGAAAGAGAATTAATTGGTAACAAAGTATAGGACGACTTGTTATGGGGTTTTCAGGTATTTATGGATTTTTGTAATGCATTTCGTCGTACTGTATTTGTCTCCTGGAAAAGATAAGAGTTATTCATAGAATGAAGTATGAATTGTAATACTTATTTTTTAAGCCTATGGTTGCATTCAGTTACTTCTTGTTTAAACTGTCATCCTTGGAATATCGACAGAAAAGTTAATGGGTAAGGGATAAAATTGCCAGCTTTCAATAAACTGTTGGTTAGACTTCAGTTCAAGTTAATTTGAAGTTCATATTGTTATGAAAGAACCGTTTTGGGTCTGTTTGGCTTAGTTAATAAAGTATATTACGTACTAAACACTTCAACACTTTTTAAGTGTTGGAAACTAATCCTATAAATAACTAATTTCGTATTTAGATAAAAATGTTGAGATTGATAGTAATAAATAGTTGGCTTTTGGAGAAGGATCGGGGAGTGCAAAACATATATTTAAGATAAAACAGTACAGTACTTGAATTTTTTTCGTCGCGTCATAAACCTTACAAAATAAAAAAAGAGGGAGAAGTTTAGAGTGATAAATTTATGATTTTTTATTAACTTAGAGAAGATTGCCTATAAGTTGGTTACCTCTTTTAACTTGTTACTTTATGATATGGCACATTACTTGCTATGCCTATTTCTCACTTGGGATGCTGTATTTGGATGATGGAGAGGAGATAATTAACGTATAATGAAAAGTCATTTCTTTTTAATGTATAATGTTTAATGAACTTGTATAATGTGTTAAAAAATTTATAGAAAAAATTGATCATTTGTGATAAAAAGTAGAGTATTATTTTTTAAAAATATATTATTTTATCCACTTTAACATCCTTCGTACTTTGTTAAAAATAAAAATTAATAGTAAAAAGTGTTCAATAAAGTGAATTACAAATTCTTTTAAATTTCTTTTTAAATTTTAGTTTCAACCATTACTATAAGCATATTAAAATGGGGTATATCAAGTCATCAACTTCTTTAGTCAAATTCAATGGTTCTAACTTTTATCTTTATTTAATATTTGTCAACTTATTACTTATACAATTATGTTAACAATTCATATAATAATTGTCTCACTGAAATGATGTTTTTCAATGTTAAATTGATAAAATCTTACATAAAACTACTAACTGAAAAAACAATATTAAATACTAACAATTTTCATCTAAATAGTGTTAGAAAAATAAATTTTGAATAAATATGTATATAAAATTCGTTTATATTTTAGACATCGAATTAAAATTTTGCTTTAGGCCCCCAATTACGTTGAGCCGGCCTAAAGATAATCTTCGGACTAATCGTTTTTTTTTTCTCGATTGCTCGACAGTTTAACCAAAAAAGTATGCACAGTTAATCATTTGTACGTGGCGTAAAAAAAGAGCCATTATAACACGTGGTGTCTTCCATTTACTACTGCAAAATTGGGCCTTAAACAGGTTAAAGCCCATGGGCCAGAAACTAATAAGCTCCATTCTCTCTCACGCACCTACAATTTCTACATTTGTCTTTCGTTTTCTCACAGGGTTTGTACCGTAATATCCAGAATTCTCACTGTATCCGTGAATTTGCTGCATTTTCCTGGAGAATTCATCGGTGTTCTTCCTCCTGAAGGTCCGTTTTGAAGTCGTATGGAAACGGAGTTTTAGCTCCAAGAGATGATTTCTGTGATGAGCAACAGATTCGAAGCAAATCGAAATAACGATTCAGTAGAAGAGACGCAAGTTAGGGTTTCCAGTAGGACCCCCGCAGATGATTCTGAACAAGCGAGGGTTTCTATGGACGTAACGAATTCTAGGGCTTCCAATTCCCAAACAGAGGATTCTAGGGTTTTGGAATTGGAAAGTGAAGGAAACCAAATTAGGGTTAAGGAAAGAAAAGACCAAGAAGGTGGTAGTTCGGGGAAGTCGGGTCGTGTGAAGTTGGACCAGAAAGGAAAGACAGCATTGGTTTCTAGTAAAACTGATGCGAGGAAGGAAAAAATGGAGCCTTATGTTTCTGAGTACGATTTAATGCTCTCTAAGTTTGATGAGTTTGCTGGAAATGTGAAATGTTGGTCAGTTGGTTATGGGTTTGAAATGGGTGATATGGTGTGGGGAAAGGTGAAATCACACCCTTGGTGGCCAGGTCACATTTTCAGTGAAGCATTTGCTACTCCGTCTGTGCGAAGGAGTAAAAGGGAGGGTCACATTTTGGTTGCTTTTTATGGTGATAGTAGCTATGGCTGGTTTGATCCAGATGAGCTTGTACATTTCGAACCAACTTATGCGGAAAAGTCTATGCAAACTAATGTGAAGAACTTTATAAAAGCAGTGGAGGAAGGGGTCGATGAAGTGAGCCGGAGGAGTGCTTTAGGTTTGGTTTGTTATTGTAGGAAGACATACAGACTGCGTGCTGTGTCAATTAATGGGTTCTTTGCTGTAGATTTTAGTGATCTTGAGAGGAATTGTACTTATTCTGCTAGTCAGATTAAGAAGGCTAGGGAAAGCTTTAAACCCAAAGAGACTAGGGGTTATGTGAGTAAGTTGGCATTGAAGCCTAGGAGAAAAGTGCATGAGGATCTTAACCTTGTTAAGAAGAAGGCAACCGCGTTGGCTTATAGGAAGGCTGTTTTTGAGGAAGATGATCCTACCTATGCAGAAGCTTTTGGTGTTGTTCCTTCTAAACAAGCACAAGAAGTGGCTCAGCCATTTAGACAACCCTCTTCAAGAGGTACTATGTTTCCCTTCCTTTGTTTTATTCAATGCTCTCCTATCAAAAACCCCGAAAAATAACCTTGCAAATCTTTTGCCTTGTTAGTGTGTACTTTATTTTGGAGTATTATGTAGTTTATTATTTGGGATGATACACCTAGAACACTAAAGCGGAAGGGATTGCAATGTTTTAACTTGTTTGTTTCAAGTTATTTGGATAGAAACTACTTTGTTGGATTGTGTAACTAGGTATTGGTATTGATGTCATGTTGCAGTGCCGCTTAAGGCCATCAATATTGGTGCATTACAGTTTTGGTGAAGATTGAGTGTACATAGGAAATTAGACGAGGGGAAGTGTAAAGATCTTTCCCCTCTTATATATCCAATCTACTCTTCTAGCCACCCCAAAATATTGTGGAATGTTTAAATAAGTTGGCCAAAGTACCAATGTCTCCCCCAAGCATGAAATTTCACTATTGGTTATGCTCAATGAGGGTGAACTAGCCTTAATCTAAAGGAATTGGAAGAAAGGGAAGAAAACACGAGATAAATTGCACATTAGTGCATACTAGTTTGTCTAATAGAAGTTTATGCGATTAAAGACATAACTGCCTTGGGACTCTTTGTCCCCACTATTAAGTGGGGAATGAAGGGTTCATCGTCAATGTTGTTAGCTCCGCTATTGTTATAGTGGGACAAGTGAACTAGAGCCTAAATGTGAATTCAACTGTTTGGATATCTTCAACCATATAAACAACTAATGGTTGTAGTACGTGTTTTTACTATATGTGTTGGGGGGTTGTTTGGTAGGATGTGTTAGAAAAATAGTAGATCATTAACTTTGTGTATTATTAATACCTTATTTGGTACATTTTTCCAACCTATGTATAACTAATGTAAGCATTAGTTAAACACTCTATATTTGGTATTAGGCTATGTATAATTAATACATGACAAAACATGGTAATAGCAATGTAGGGATTTTTGATGCATGCATTAGCATGGTTAAAGACAACATTGTCCCTCAAAGAATTTTCCACATCCTTACCACTGTATTATACAGTGATGGGTGTTTCTGTAAACATAATTTTTTAGAAATTATGCAATGCTTGTTATTCTTAATACACCAAACTTATAATTGCATAAGAAATAATCCCTGCATTAGTATTACTAATACACCTTATTTTTAGTATTATTTTTATACACCCTGCCAAACGATCCTAAATGTATAACTCTATCCCCCAACCAATAAAAATAATAATAATAATTTTGTTTTAGCATTAATCAATAAGTGGATGGTAATTGAATCTTTTTTATAAAGGTAACATTTGCATATCAATCATCTGCTCAAAGCTGGTATCCAAAATTTACATCATATCCTCTCTACACCCTTGTGTGTCTGGCATAAACAAAAGATAAAGAAAAGAAAAGAAGAAAAAAAAGAAAACTATCCCTAGATCCTCCTTCATCTTTATAAGGACCCTAGAATGTCTACAATAGCCACAAGATCATCTATATACTCTGAACTACACTAATAGCAAAAAGTGATGATGCAGTTCATTTTAATCTTGTGTAGAGGGCTGCTCTTGTTATCAAAACTCCTAGAATTCCTTTCTTTCCATATGGTCCACCAAATAACTGTTGGGACAATTTTCCATCTACTTTTGTCTGTACTACCACTGCCCTCCATATTCCAGCTTTCTAGAGCCTGTCATGTTCTCTCTGGAACAGTCCAACTTATACCTTTGAAGCTAGTAAACAAATTCCACAGCTTGCCAACCACTTTCCAATGTAAGAACAAATGGTTAATTGTCTCTGCAACCTACTCACAAAAACGACAGCCCCTACTCATAAGATTCTCTTGTGTAAGTATATCCTCTTTCACCACCAACCAAGTAAAAACTAACTTCCATATAAGTTTCCAAGGCATAAAGTTAACTTGGATCCCATCTGATTCATATTTCTATATGCAGAACTAACCGTGAATAATCCTTTGTTATGACATTTCCATTTAAGAGTGTCTTCTTCTTCCTTGAATCCTAAGATGGATCAAGTGTTCCATAAAATTCAGCCAATCTCTTAACTAGTACTACACAAATCTTTTTGTTATCTTACACAAATTATAAGCTATTAGAAGGAATGTGTTGGGTCATCTTTATTGTCTAAGTTAGTGTTTTGGAAGGTAAGGTGACGAGGACCTGCCTCGTTGAGGTGAAGCGCTTGCCTTTTTTGAATTGATGCGCCAATAAATCCAAAAAATGAAATATCTAATTGACTATATAAATAATCGAAATCTCAATAACAATAATATATTAGCAAATATTTTAATTCAAAGAACTTGAAGGACTCAAAATTCATTAACAAGCTATACTAAATGACTTAAAAAGTAAAAAGAAAGAAAAAAGAAGCTAGAAAAAGAATTTACCTGTGCCCAATTACCAAAAACAAACTTACTTCTTGCAACTGAAGTGACAGATGGAGAACCCAATCGCATAGTCGATTGAAAAAAGGTAAGTGAATAAAACTCTAAAATCACACGCATCGTCTTTTTCTTTCTTTCTTTTTAAAGAAGTTGTGATTTTTTTTGAAAAAAGGACAATGCCTTTTTGCTAGTCTTTTTCACAACTCTTGCCTTGTAGAATGATGACCTAGTGATGCCTCGTCTCTCGCTTAAGATGCTAAGGTGAGCGCCTTTGATAATGCTAGTCTAAGTTGCGCTAACTCTTCACTTTTGATGTCGCACCTCTGTCAAAATCTGTATCGAATATGGTCAACCCGTTTTGCATACTTTGACCAAACTCGATAGAGAAATCAGGACAAAAATAGTGATTTTTTAAATCAAATCTAAAGCTAGGGTGATTTAGGCATATGCTTTTTATCATTAAAAGATATTGTAACAAAAAGTTAGCCGTCAAAAGGTGCTTTAAGGATATTTACGAGCTAAAACTTAACATCACTATTGAACAGTGTTGTAAAAAGCGCAGAAAAGCGCGCTTAAAGCGCAAGGCGAGGCGAGGCTCCTGCGCTTTTAGTTTCTGAAGCGAGGCGACATTGAAAAGGCGCTCGCTTCTACTGTGGAAGCGAGAAGCGCAAGAAAAGCGAAAGCGCACTTTTTATGAAAAAGCGTCAATTAGGGCTTTTTCTTTTAAAATGTAAGGTTTTTTTTTTTTTTAATTTCTAAAAGATACTTACGCGACTAAGAAGCTGCGACTTTTTCTCTTCTTCTTTGCGACTGCTGTAGCCTGTAAGTTCTCTTCTTCTCTGCGAAGCTGCTGCGATCTGCTACTGTTTTTTTTTTTTTTTTTGGTTGCTGCTGGGTGTTTTTCTATATTTTTATTGCTGGATTTTTTTTTTCCAATTCTGTTTGCTGCTCTGTTTTCAATCTCTATTACTGACCTGTTTTTTTTTTTCAATAATATTACTGCTCTGTTTTTTTCAATTCTTTTGCTGCTCTTGTTGAAGAATAGGAGTTTGATTCTTTGTGATTTAATTATGTTTTTGATTTTTTGCTTTATATGTTATGACTTGTGAGTATTATTGACTATCTATTTACTTTTAATCTAAGAATATATTTAATATTTTTTATTTTTATACTAAATATCGCTTTATTCAAAAAAAGCGCGCGCTTCGCTTCTTGCTTTTGTGAAGCGAGCCCTTGTCGCTTTTTTCCGCTTCTTGCTTCCCAAAACACTGCTATTGAATGTGTGGTGAACTAAATAAGTCTATCATGTCCTCTTATATCATATGCAATAGCCATGTTACTCGTACAAACCAAAAAAATACAATAAAGAGATGCATTTGTAGATTATAACTAAATAGATCAAGCTCATTAATAAAAATTCATACATTTATTTTCTTCCAAATAATCCATCATAATTTAGGCATATTTTTGTAACTCTATAATTTAGATATTTGATTTATTTTTAGATGTATTCCCACACTCGCATTCGTACCTCGATCTCTAACCTTGAATCTAAAATATAGATTACGAAGGATCATATTTCTAGATCCACATATGTATTAGACATACACACTCGAGTTCAAGCAACTTAGTTTATCGCCTTGGAGTGCTCAAATCAAACTAACTTTAATTAACATTCGGTACATGCACATGCAACCCACACAGAGCATTAAAAGAGATGTCTTTTGAGATGGTTTTGTCATGTATGTATAAAAATTATGTCAAGTGAAGTGTTAATAATGGATGAGTTAGGCTATATCTTTGCAAATTGAGCCCAAAAAAGGCTACAATGGTAAATAATATGTATAAATGAGATTAAGTCAAAAAAGTGTGATGGAAAAGAATGAGGTGGCTGCACTATTTTTTATTTTGATGATTGTGATATTCGGACCAATTTTCATGCACCTCGATTTATTCCACGGTATAATTGTTACCTCCCACCGATAATAGGTACTAGGTAATTATTTCTACCAAGGCTAGAACGAATGGGAAGAATCACCTAGTATTTCTTGTCTCCGTTGGAAATTGAATTGATACCTCATGGTTCTCAACCGTTTCATTGACTGTTAGGCCACACCCATGGGTGCAGTTTCACTATTCTGATGATGTTATTGTTCCTTCCCTTAATGTTCTGCACTTCCCTTCATTGTAGTTTGTTTGTTTTCATTACTATTTGGATTTGCTATATATTAGTCAAGGGTCCTTTGGAAACAATCTCTCTCTAACTCCATAAGGTAGGGGTAAGGTCTATTTTTAAATTTGGACATGTGTTTGCAGGGATAAAACTGAAATACAAAAACAATCTCGTATCTGCAACAAGTGCAATTAGATACAATAACCAGAAAATATACCTATTTAATCATTAAATCCTTTTTCATATATCCAATTAGAAAACTTGTAATTTCAGTTGGCTTTTGTCATCTTCCTTTATTTTGTTCCTTTTTTTATTGTTTCTTATTTAGCAATTCAATAATCTAACTGTATGGTCTCATCGAAAGTTTACCCTTGTTATTTGAATATCACAACCTTGATGAACTATATTCAGGACTGGACTTAGTGATTCAATTAATTGAACATCATTGTTAGTAGTTTTGGTAGAATTTTCATTCTTTGTATCATAAGCTACTAGTCTAGAAATTCTTTCAAGAATATAGGGAAGTCAAAATAAAAAGAAGGGGAGGATGTAGGCTAATGAGAACTTCAAATAGGACGTAAACACTCATTTCTCTCGCTGCACATAAAAATGTAGCATTATCATTTTATGAGTCATAACAATCATTATACTAGATTATCAAAGAAGGAAATTATTTTTGGGTTTTGCTGGGAGGGGATGAATAGAGATGTGCAAGCGGAAGGAGGAAAAAACAAATGCGTACTAAAATACAAAATACTAGTAGATAAACCTTCGCAACTATAAATGTTTAGAAATGACACCAAAACTTCTTGTGGATTCATATCAGCAAGCAACTTTTGCTACGCTTCAACCCCAAAAGGTAGGGATTGGTTATATCAATTGCCCCTTATTTATTTCATCATCATACATAATAAAATAAAGTGGAAACTAAGTCATCTCTAATATGGAACTGGATTTACCGAAGGGATCCCTAATATGACTATCACAATATATGCGCAACTTTTATTGCAGGGACTTCAAATTGTTGTCCACATGGGTTAACTCTTTTGGAAGTTGATTGTGATTCAACAGAGGTACTCCATATGGTTCAATAAGCCTATGAAATTTATAATGCCCTGATATATGAATGTGGGTACCTGATGACAAGCCAAGGGATCCTCAAGCAAAACATATGTATTAGGATCATAACCAAGCAATTGATGCATTGGCCAAGGATGGAAAAAAGAAGAAGTTTTTTGTTGGACCTGTTTTGCTAGTTCCTCCCATCTATGCCAACTCTATTTTTTGGACCAAAATTGGAAAAACTAGTTACAGTTCAACAATTTCAATCTGTAATATTAACTGGAAGGTTGACAACCATGAATTAATTTGGAACACTACTACAAATATTCTGTAAATCCATTTAGTTAATCCATATTTCTTAGCTAGCCATAATAATAATGATAATAATAATAATAAAATAATAGATTCATGTTGATAAAATATGGTGTGTGATATATTTTTATAAAAATACTATACTTACCTTTAAGTTTTGGTGGTACCTTTTATTATAATAATACAATATTAGGTTTATGTCGCATGCTAGGGGAGGTGTTTAAGGTTGGATATAGTAGGCATGATGAGAGGTTGAGACGAGTTGAAAAGGCATTAGGGAGAGGTGATTAGATAGGACATGGCATAAATTTAGATTATTGAAGACATGACCTTAGATAGGAGGGTTTGTTTTTCGAGTGTCCAGGCATGTTGTTTGTCGTTCTACTAGTTGTATTATTGTACTTCTTGCTATTGATATATATCATCATTTGTTTATTGGGTTTCAGTCATTGCGCCATTTTGTTGTTCTTATTCTTTTCATGTAGGCTTTGAATTGGTTCTCTTATTAGTGTTATGTTTTCTTTATTGTTCTCTTTTTTTTTATACTTGAATTTGTTGCATTGAGTCGATAGTCTCTCGAAAACAGTCTCTCTACCTCTGCGAGGTAGTGGTAAGACTTGTATATACTTTGTTCACCCCATACTCAACTTATTGGATTCACTAGATATGTTGTTGGATGAAATCAATTATTATTTTCTTAATACTGCAGTTAGAGGGGGACTTAAATGGAGCGACATGGACTATGGAGATTCATATAGTAGATCCCAACTTGGTTGGGTGGATGCATTGATCTTTTTTATTCTTGTAATCAAAACTGATTTTGAATTTTGTTTTAACTTTTCTCTAATTGTTGTTCAAGTAAAACTGAAAATATGCATATGCAACCCATAATTTTGAAGTGATTTTTTTGACATGAATCTAGTATTTTTATTTTATTATTAGGGAAAGGTTCGAAATGCCCTTAACATATCATAAATGATTTAATAATATCCTCCTTCCATCTATTAGATAAAATATGTCCTCAACATTTTCTTTAGGTATAAAAATGCCTTTTCTAACTGTACAATGGCATGACAATGATGAGTCATTTAATGAAACAAATGGCTTCATCTTATTGGTCCACATAAAATTTGAAATTCAATCTAATTATCCGAAATAAAAGACCCAAATCCACCCATTCACCCAGTCACCCATTTTAAAAATAAACCTATTCTATTTCACCCCAAGTTCCCTTAATTGATTCACTAAATCATAAGGAAATTCAATGGTGAGTTTGTATTGTTTGTCAGAATCTTCTCACACTTGGCAGGATCCTAAACCACTCTCCCGACAACTTATGCTACGGGAACAATGATTCTCCAAAGCACGGGATTCCTCACTCTAATATAGCCTCATACACCATTGAACTCATGGCATCCCCCTTTGATGCAATTCTTGCCAAAAAATAATTAAAATTTGCAGTTTTAAACTTCAAAAATTTATGAGAATATTCTAAATGGTAAAAATGATTTACTTTCAACTAAAGATCAATTTATTTTCACTCTAGATAGGTTAGGTTAATTTTTAAAACGGGTTACTTGGCGGGTTTAGGGTTTTTACCTTGGATAGTTAGATTGGGTTTAAAAATTTATGTGGACCAATAAGATGAAGTTTCATTAAGTGACTCATCATTCTCGTGTCATTGTGCTATTAGAAAAGGGCAGTTTTAGACTGAAAGAAAACGTTGAAGACATTTTTTATCTAATCGATGAAAGGAGGGCATTTTAAAACCATTTATGATTATGATACGTTAAGGGCATTTTTGAACCTTTTTCCTTATTATTATTATTATTATTATGGGTAGTTAGGAAATATGCATTAAACTAAATCAATTTACAAAACATTTGGAGTTTGGCTCCAAATTAGTTCATGGTTCTCAACGGTCGTGTTAATATTACAGGCCAGAATTGTTCTATCTTAAGATGCTTGTCCAAAAAATAGAGTTAACATACACGGGAGGAACTGGCAAAACTTCGGGCTTGGAGGTCCCGAGCTACAAGCTTGAAGGGTTGGAGGGAGTATCACGAACAAACTATAGCACAACCTAAATCCAGTTGGGGAAAATCATTGCCCTAAAGCACTAGCCAAGCTTCTTCTTTTATTTCTTCAGGGGTTAGGTGTATAGAGTAGGTGGTCCATCAAAAAATTTCTTCCTTGGCCAAGGCATGAGTTGATGATAGGTTATGCTCTTGTAAACATGTTTTACTTGAGGATCCCCTAGGCTTATCATCAAGGACCCACATTCATATATCAGGGCAGGGCATTCTGAATTTCATGGCCATGTTGAAGCATATGGAGTACTTCTATTGAATTACATTCAAATTTCCATAGGAGTTGACCTTTGTTAACAACAATTTGAAGTCCCTTGAATAAAGTTGCTCATATACTGTGTTAGTTGTATCAAGGGTTCCTTTAGTAAATCCAATTACCCATTCACCATTAGAGATCACTTATTTTTTACTTTATTTTATTATGTATGATGTTGAAATGAATAAGTGAGAATTGATATAGTCGATCCCCAACCTTTTGGGATTGAGGTGTAGTAGCAGTAGTTTGCTGATATGAATCTACAAGAAGTTTTGGTGTCACGTCTAGATAGTTTATAGTTATGAAGGTTTATTTGTTTTATTTTAGTATGCACTTGTTTCTTTCCGCTTGTCCATCTTTATTACCCCCCCCCCCACCCACCCACCCACCCTCCCACACACACACACAAAGAAAGAAAAAAAAATCCTCTTTGATCTGGTATTATGACTCATAAATAGATAATACTATATTTTTATGTGTAAAGTAGTGATGGAAAAAACAAGTAGAAAGCAACTAAAACCAAACCGACGATATGAAGTCGTATCCCCAATAGGAGTCTCCCATTCTTAGGAAACAATTGTGGTACTAAAGTGTTGAAATAAATTGCGAAGTAGTAATATGGGATGAGATTATTTGACGATGGTAGTATTGTGTGTACATCGTATAAAGGGTTCACTATCTGCATATGGTTGTGAAGGGGTTGCTATCTTCGTTTGTTGGAACTGGCAAGTAAAGCTGAATCTATCTTAAAGCTCCTAGATTCGCTATAGATTTAGCTAGGGCTGTTTTGCCTTCCACACTTTCGGCGCAATGCCCATAATTCCAGCATATTTGTTGTGTTGTTTATGAATAAAAACTTTACCAATTACCATTTTAAAAATAGAAGAAGGGTGTCAAGTTGTAAATATTGTATTTGCTGATGAATAATTGAATTTGGTTAGGAGCTTTTTAGTTGTATTATTATACGCACAAAAAATGTTCTCATTAAAAAAAGCAGTAAAGAAATGTGGCATAAGAGTGAGAACATAGCGTTTTGGGATGAATGTAATTAACAAGTGGCCAAATAAAAATTGTTACTCCTGCCTTACCTGTGTTGAGTTGGCCATATAAAATATGATGGTTTATGTGCAAACCCCGCTTACTTGAGTTTTCAACCTTCTTTTTATGTGGTGAAATCCGAGATGATAAAAGTAGATTTTTGTCTTTTTTGGCTGTGTAAGTTATCCACATCGCCTTTACTCTTCTTTGCACATTTGGACAAAAGTGTTTTTTTATTTGCTGGCTTCCATCTTCTGTTGGTCATGTTATTTGAGTCTCAAGTCTTTAACGTGTCTGAAATTTTATTTTTCTAATATTAGTTTGAAGTCTTGTTTTTCTTTTCCTTCTAATTCTCTCTTGAAACGTTTTGTATCATTATCTTTTGGAAAATAAGTGTGTAAACATTTTTAGTAGAAACAAAGTCCTCAACTAGTGATCTGATTTGCTGACATGTGTCTTCTGTGCTTTTGCAATTTTACAGCTCCTTTGAGTGGCAGATTGGTGCATGCAGAAACTCTGGGTAAGGGAAAGGGTTCTGCAAAATCTAATAAAATGAAGGACCAAGTTGAGAAAGACAGATATCTGTTTAAACGCAGAGATGAGCCTGTTAACCTGAAAGTCCACCAAGTTGGTCCAGCACAAGCAGGTTCTTCTGACCAGTCTGCTCATCTAGACGGCTCCTCCTTAGAAGGAAAAGATGTATCTCCTAGTGCTGCTGATGCATCTGGCTCCACCTTGATTGAGAGCTTTAAGCAGCCGTCAAGTCAGGTAGCTAATGTGGAAGAACTTCATGGAGAGAGACAAGCTGAAGATGGTGGTACTGATGTTGTGCGGCCTTCAGATAAGGTCAAGGTTCGTAAACGTTCTGGTGGAGAAGTGAGTGGTGGAAGTAGTCTGTCAACTGAGAGGAAGAAAAAGAAGAAGAAGGTGCTGTTGGGCTTGAAAACTGACTCTAATCATGTTGATGCACCAGCAGCAGCTGTTTCGTCAGATAATCCGGTAATGGAAAAAGTTGCAAGAGAGTCTGTCCAAGTTCCTCCAGTTTCCACGGAAGAACTTCAAATGGATATTCAACAAAAGGATGATCCTGCAGACTGCTCTGTGCCTGACCGTGTGGTAACAGAAGATAAAGTTGGGATTAGAAGCGACAATATTGATCTTCGTCAATTACTAAGTGATCTCCATGCGATTGCTCTTGATCCCTTCTATGGTGCCCAGAGCAGAAATATAAATACTATACGAGAAGTGTTTCTGAAATTCCGTTCCCTTGTGTATCAAAAAAGCTTGGCTTTGTCTGCCACCATTGAGAGTGAGTCAAGTACCCCCATCAGCAAGTTACCTGTTGCAGCCCCTATGTCAGACACTGGCCCCAGCAATAATGTGAAACAAACATCAAATCTGAAGCCACAGAAGAATCCTGCCAGGCCTGATGATCCTTCTATCAAAGGAGGGCGAAAGCGGGGTACTTCAGATAGGCAAGAGGAACTGGCCGCCAAGAAAAAGAAGAAGATCAATGATTTGAGAACATTGGCAGCACAGAAGAAGGGCTCCGGTAAGACTTCAGAAGTTAAACCAGGTGAAAGCAAGGAAATACCTGCAAAGAAGCTGGTATCAACACCTGTGAAATCATCTAAGCCAGATAGTGTCAAGAAGAATGACCCGGCAGAAAAGGTACCTGATCCTACCATGCTTATTATGAAGTTTCCATCTAATGGAGCTCTTCCCTCCATTTCTGAGCTGAAGGCGAGGTTTGCCCGTTTTGGGGCTCTGGATCATTCAGCTACTCGGGTCTTCTGGAAGTCATCCACCTGCCGTTTGGTCTACCAATACAGGGATCATGCAGTGCAGGCCTTTAGATTTGCAAGTGCTAGCACGAATTTGTTTGGGAACACCAATGTGAGATGCTCTATTCGAGAAGTGGCGGCTGAAGCACAAGACACCGAAAGTATGAAGAATGATAGTGGCGGGACTTCTGCACCAAAAGATAGGGCAGCTGATTCGAGGTCCTCGGGAAAGCCTGGGCAGCTGAAATCATGTCTAAAGAAACCCCCAGGTGAGGAAGGGCCGACGACAGATGGTGGTAATGGTAGTAATAGGGGAACCCCACGTGTAAAATTTATGTTGGGTGCAGAAGATAATATTAATAGGGATAGAGGTGAGCAGATGAATGATATTAAGAACGTCAACAACACTAGTAGTATTGCTGATGGAAGTGCATCTTCTAGTTCTAATATCAACAATTATACAAGTCAGTCGTCCATGCTCCCTCTTCCTACTACTGCTCATTATGCCAATGCACCAAATGATATTCACTTTGCTCTTCAAGCTCCCCATAGAAATTATAACAATCAAGTGTCTGCTCCTGAAGCCAACTTTTCACAACAAATGCTATCCCTTCTCAGCAAGTGCAGTGACATTGTGACTGATCTGACGAATTTATTGGGCTATTTCCCTTATAATGGCCTTCAATAAAATTGGTTCTTCATTTTTGGAAGGCTTTTGGGCTTAGCCACCAACTCATCGATACAATGCATAGCATTTAGTGTCTGAAGAGCAAAAGGATGCAGATCAAAATCTGCATATGCTAAAGGAGCTGTAACCTGCTGGAAACTGGAATTGCTTAAAAATCTCTCTTATTGTATACTTTCAGATGACCTGTATCAGAAGAAGAATGATAGTGATTGTGCCATCTTGATTTTTTTCTTTTTGCTCTTCTACCGTCCCCCCCTCCCCAATCAAAGAAAATCTCGCCGCTTGAGATTCTCTGTATTGACATGTTATAATTTTAAGAACTGGAATTATGTAAAACTGCTTAGAAGTTGTTGGCATGCAGGTTCGGAATCTAAACGTAATCTTAAGAACCAAGTTAGAATACACATTAACGGTACAAAAAAAAAAGAATTTATCTCCATTGGCGTTTACACCGACGCAACGATTTTATTACATTTTTTCAAATAATATACTGTTACCACATAATTATAATTAATTAATATAATGTATATCATTAAATCACTTAACTACAGTAAGTATCTGTTTGTTTTTATTTGCTCATACTGGACTTTGTGCACTCATTAAAAAAATATGAGTAAGTTGGTGTATAGTTGTTGATGAATTTGAGAAATGATTTGAAATGGTAGTTATAGTAAGGGTAAAACATGAAGAAATTTTTTTTGTTTTGATATATTAAAGTAAACAATTAAAAGTGAAAACATATTTTTAGTATAGTGAATAAGTAAAATGAAAAATATATTTTAGTATAGTCAATTAAGGCGTTTCGTTGTGTCATTTTGGCTGGACGTGACTAGTAAATTAGCAGTTAGAAAGTGTACTTTTTTCAACTAGAAAAGAGCTAACAAAGTGTTGAAAAAAGAAAAATGCTAATCTTTCTTCTGGTGTAGTACTCCCTCTTCCTCCGCTCTAGTGTTTGTCCACTATTGATTTTTTAAGAAACTATAAATAGAAGGGTAATTTCTTTTTATCACCTTTTAAATATACTCTCTCTGTTCCTAATTACTTGTTCACTTTTCCTTTTTTAGTTGTCCTAATTACTTGTCCATTTTGATAAATCAAGAAAAAACAACTTTTTTTTACCTGTTATACCCTCAATTAATTACTTTGAAAAAGGTAGAAGTTCTTGAAAATATTAAGTTTTTAATGCATCTACTTCTAATTAATAGGGGTAAAATGATAAACTCACTATGTCAATAATTGTTTTCTTAATAGGTGTGTCAATTCAAAAGTGGACAAGTAATTAGGGATAGGGGGAGTAATAAATACTATATCTTGAGTAATGTAATTGGGAAATACTATAATTAATGATAAGGATAGATTAGAAACTAAGTGTAAAATTATCCATTGATTTTATAAAGTGGACAAATATTGTTGACATCTCAAGATAGTATAGTGAACACTTATTGTTAGACAAATGGAATATTAATATTCCCTCTTATCACAATAGATCACTGAAAATGATGTATAGAATTGTAGATGAATTCACATTTCCTTTTGCTTGAAAGATGTGATGAAGAATTCAGTAATGTTTTTAAGAATCTCAAAAGAGCTCTTATGTTAGATTGTGGATGGCAAATGGGCATATTGAATTAATAAATTTGTGTGAGCTGAAATGAGTCACTTTAATTATTGGATCAAGATGCAACCTGCCCAAAGTTTGCTTGGGTTAAAATGGGTCAAACAACTAATCATAACCCAACCTTAACTTCCAAGAACAAATGTAATTAAGAAGGTAAAAAGTTACCATTGATGATTGTCTCATATTGCTTCAATGGCGTTGATGGAGAATGAAATAAAATTAATGAGGACAAGAAAGCACTGAAAAAAATCTTCTTATCTTTGGCATCCTAAACAAACTCCTATAATTAATTTAGAATTCAAATTACCATATAATATTTTTTATTATTATTATTTAATTATTAATAATAAGTATTTCTAAAAATGAGTTGATGGTATAATTTTTTTTTGTCCATTGTGAGTGGATATAAGTTAATCTCAATTAAGATTAGCTTTTGATGTAAGCTGATCTTCGAGTTTGATTTGAGATCCAATTCCATTAGCTAGACCACAAAATAGGGGTGTAAATTGCTCTTTAGTGCAAGTGAAAGAATCCAATTCCACCATATTATTTATGTATGGTGTAAATTAATAATTGAAGAGTTCTATAATTTGACCAGACATATAAATCTCCCAATGATATCATCATACTTTAAATACTGAATACATCTAATATAAGATCATATTTTAAAACAAAGCGTATGAAACTATTATTTTAATAAAGTAATGTGTGGTTTTAGCTAAGGGCAGAAAAGAGAAAACTAGAAAGGCAAGAAATATTAGAAAAAAAGACATTTTTATGTATAGTTCTAACTTCCATAGAGGAGCAGAAGTTATGGGTACTAGTAATTTTGATTCAAATTATTATAAGAATTAAAAACTTAAATATATAAAATATTAAATTTTAAATCCACTAAATTTTGATGATAAATTGCTTGTTAAATGAGTACAAAATAATGAATGAAAGCAACGATCAATGGAATAATGAGTAGATCACTATGAAGATCTATTTCTGCATATTATTTCTGCTATGTGTGGGGATATGTAACTGTTATAATGGATCCCATATGTAACTGTCAAATTCAAATTTTGAACCCATACAATTTTAGGATTTTTTTATTTTTTTTGGTTTATCTGTGTTCTGTATTTACATTGTAGTCCGATTAAATTTGGATTCACATTGGAAAGTCACTCATACCGTTTTAAGATTTTTTTCCTTTTTGGTTTCCTACCTTATTTTGGGTACCCCATTGGAGTTTGACTAAATCAAGATTCAACTCGAAAAATTCATATTGGGGGTAAAATACGTCCTACAAAGACGATTCTATATCTAGGGAACTCGAATCCGAAACCCACATTGGGGGTAAAACACGTCCTACAAAGGCGATTTTATATTTAGGAAACTCGAATCTAAAACCTTTGATTAAAATGGAGTATTTATTACTCCACCAATAGTATCTTTATGTTTTCTTTTAGTTGTAGAACTAATTTTATAAGAAAAAAAAACCTTTATTATTGGAGTAGTTATTTCTATTATAAAAACTGATATAATTTCTTGGAAATTTCGTCACAAATGCGTAGATTATTCCGTAAGGTTTGAAAGTATATTCTAAAAATCTGCTTACACACGCAGTTGACACGACGTTGTTCGGAAAGTGGGCGCCTATATTATATTCCATTATTTCATGTCCCTAATTATTTGTTCATTTTTGAATTGACACACTTGTTAAGAAAATAATAATTGAATAGTAAATTTACTATTTTACTTATATTAATTATGAAGTGGATAAATTTAAAATTTAATATTTTAAAAAAGTTTTATATTTTTCAAAATAATTAATTAAAAATATAAAAAGTAAAAAAAAATTGTCTGGACAAATAATTAGAAACAGAAATATATATGGTATGAAGAGGGATAAATTCTATTCCGTTGGGATAACGCGTCTACTATTTTTATTGCTACTAAATACTAGAGCGCTCTCGCTTTTTCTGGAAAATTAAATCACATCAACAAAAAGTTTAATTTCCACCAAATATTTGTACCTATCCAAAGGAACGGTCATAAAGAAGAGCATATTTATCTTCTTTTTATTTCAATTTATATGATCAATGAAAGACGAAGTTAAGAAATATATATATATATATATATGGAATAAGGGTATGAAAAATATTTTAACTTTGGTCGGATTTGTTGTTGCGATACTAAACTTTCATAAGGACCTATTACCTCCCTAGACTATTTAATTTCATATTTTTTACCTCCTGAACTATTTAATAGTGTATTTTAAAGGTATACAGGCACGTGGACACATTACAATTTATAATTTTGCATTATTTTTTATGTCCACGTGGGCAAATATATATATTTAAAATATGGTATTAAATAGTCTAGGGAGGTAATAGGTCTTCATGAAAATTTAGTATCGCAACAGCAAATCCGACCAAAGTTGAGATATTTTTCATACTCTTATCCCTTTATTTGTAATATTTTAAAAGTATTAATAATATCATTAAATATATATCAACTAAGAAAATAATTCATTCTTTTTAATATTAGCTTTAATTTGTAAAAATATTTATTTAAACTATTTTTATATGTTTATTAAATGTTACACGCATCAAATCCTTTTAATGCTTATAAAAACGTCGATGAAGCCTTGTCTTTCCATTGAGCCTCAAAGACAATTGAAATCATAGTCAATGGCTATTACTCCTATTTGATTGAGCTAAGAGACAAAATAAAAGAGTAGTAACATTTTAAATTTTTGGCACTACTTTTTAATTGAAATGATTTAGCAACTGCATCTGGCCAAAAAAAAATATTTTAACAATTAAACTGCACGTTCATTTTTATTTGTTCATTATTTTTAATTTTTAATTTTATTTTTATTTATCATTATTAACATATTAAAATAGATAATTTATTTTTTCCAAGTTTTATTCTTAGTATACTTTATGATATTAAATATCAAGAGATAGTGTGAAAAAAATAATATTATATAGTCATTGCTTACTTAGGAATTAATTACGTAATTTATTAATTAGGGGTAAGGAATCCTTATCTTGCTGAAGTCGGTTTATTCGAACCTTCCTCTTTATTTCCTTTTTCTCTTATACTTCACCTATAAATTCGTTCCCCCATAAACAGAACCCAACAAATACAACAAATAATCGGAGTTAGTTTCAAACAAACTATTTTTCATTTTCCAAATTTTTTGCTGAATCTGTTAGCTACCTGTTTCTTCAACAATCCAATAACAACAATGGAGTTACGTCCTTTAGACATCAAAGTGATCTCTGCAGACGGCATAAAGAATGTCAATACTTTCTCTAAGATGGATGTTTATACAGAAGTCTACATTTCCAGTTACGCCAGCAAGGCTTCTAAGCAGAAAACTTTTGTTGATAAGAATAGCGGCACGAATCCTAAGTGGAATCACTCCATGAAATTCACTCTCGATGAATCGTCTCTCACGAAATCAGGGATTTACCTCGTCTTTCGTCTCAAATCTGATCGCACTTTGGGTGACAAAGATATTGGTGAGGTATCTGTTCCTATTCATGATTTGTTCAATTCTAATGGCACAATGGAGAGGTTCGTTGAGTATCCAGTGATTACAGAGAGCGGAAAACCTAAAGGTACTCTGAAATTTTCCTATAAATTTGGGGAAAAATTTACAGCGCCTGAGCCGAAGAGAGATGTAAATCATGAACCTGTAACCGCTTATCCTGCTCAAATGCATCCTGGTATGGGTTATAATCAGCAAAATTCGGGATACGGATATCCACCTCCGCCTCCTCCGGCTCATCAAGGTGGGTACGCATACCCATCCCAAGCTGGTGCACCGGGTTATGGATATCCACCACCACAACCTGGGTACGGGTATCCGCCACCACAACCAGGGTACGGGTATCCACCGGTGCAACCGCCACCGCCAAAGAGGAAGAACAAGATGGGAGGTGGATTAGGGTTAGGGTTGGGTGCAGGATTGCTTGGTGGTTTGTTGGTGGGAGATATGATTTCTGACGTCGGAGAGATGTCTGCTTATGGTGATGGGTACGGAGATGCTATGGATGATATGGGTGGTGGCTTTGATTTTTAGTTTAATTTTCCAAATTTGTAAATTTTCTTTGTTTTTTTTTTAAAATCTTTTGAGATGTAATAAACTTTGGTACTAAGGTAGATTTTGAAGGATGTTTATTTTTTATTTAGTTATTCAGATCAACCTTACACTACTACTTCCTTTTTTCTTTAAAATAGTTTGTAATACTTTTTGAGGGCTCGTTTGGTACTAGTAATAATAAAGAATAATTACAAGATTTTTTATTTTTATGCTTTAGTTAAAGGTGTTAATTAATTCTACAATCATTCCATCATGTCTTATAATAATGGTATTGTGGAATGTCTTAAATCATGGAATAACTTTTGATATAGAAACAAATTTCTTGGGAGATATGTTCTCTTTAATAGAGAATTTATTGAAAATAGTCTTTTATCTCCCGGGTAGGGATAAGTCCTCCATGTTGAGGAGTTAATCATTGGTGCAGATGTCGTCATCTATTGAAGCTTCCATTCAAAGCTTATAACATTGAGTTAATCATTGGTGCAGATGTCGTCATTTATTGAGGCTTCCATTCAAAGCTTATAACATTGAGTTAATCATTCATGCAGATGTCGTCATTTATTGAGGCTTTCATTCAAAGCTTATAACATTATATCATCGGAACTTCCATTCAAAGCTTACAACACTTCTCATTTTGATCTTTCAGCACCAGGCAAGTGTTGCATTTTATCTTTCTAAATTTGACTTGTAGAATTATATTGACAATGATGTTGTAGATCTTGTATCGTGGAGTGTCATTGTACCTCGGATTTTTATTTTGTTTAGCAGAATATGCTTTTAGTTCCTAAGGAACAATCTTTCATATATGAGTTTCCATGTACCAACTATTTTGGTCTTACTATTATTATATTTGGGCAAGTAGGAATATTTCTTTTGGGGGGAATTGAACAGTTGTGTAACAGTATAGCATAAAGAGAAACGGTGAACATTCATAGTATTATTTTCCAGAGCATAATCAATCAAAAGAGGCATTTGCAGTACACCTCACTGTGAATTATACAAGATCAAATGATTTTAAATACAATCAACATGCCATTTAGAGCTTAACTTCAAGACCCCATTGCTGGTAGCAGCACAGCTTACACCACTTGATCACATCACTCTCCGACAACGTAAAATGTAACTCCTTCCCTCCTTGTCAAACTTGTGCTATATTTGAGTGAATGCGAATGTGAAATAGCACAAATACAGAGATGCTTACACATGTTTGCCTCAATTTAACGTTTGACCGTACAAATAGGTTATTTCCACTCATGTTTAATTGCATACACCAGAGAATTCAGTACAGATTTGCTGCTATTATCTAAAACTACATCAAGATATTCGAATTTATTCCACTGATATTGATTCTTCTTATAAATTCAACAAGAACTCAATGACCCACGAAACATAACATTGAGATCAACACAAAATGGGCCTTTTTCCAGTCAAATACATACACACACTTGACACGTATACCCTGTATCATTCAGTAATACGGTTAAGCATATAAAAACAGCTTAAGCAATCAAAACAAGGAACAAAATTATTCAGATCACTAACCTTCATCTTGTGCAAGATTTTCATTCTCCTGTCATGACTAATCTTTCACTTTAAATGAAAGATGGGTGCTTATGTAATTGTGAAGGATGATATATAAATCAAGATATGATAAAAATATGGGAACGCTGAAGGGTTGGTGATGAGATAGGATAGGACTACACTAATTCAAATTGAACTTGGATAAAACTATACACTGGATAGCACAGAAGATGTGCTGCAATTTGTTCTTGAAAATAATAATAGAAGTTATGAGTTATGACTTTCTTCTCCACCCAAACTCACAGGATCAACATGGTCACCTCGTAAACCCCCCAAAAAAAGGATTTTCGAATGGAACTTTGATGTATAATTCATACAGATGGGTGCCTTAAATGAGATAGCAGAGGAAAAAGATCAAAGCATTCCACGATGAAATCACAAGTAAATTGGGCATCATTCATTAGACAAACATAAACACAAAAAACAGTCATACTATATACCTGTATAGAAAAAGGAAATAAGTCAATAACTCCTAGGAGATCCTCTTCTTGTTCTGCATTCTTTGAGTGCCTTGAGGCATTCAACTAAATCTGCCGTTCCAGATTGTAAAGATGAAGCTATTATATGTAATTTCTTAGAATAATCTATTGGTTTTTTGGTCTATCCTAAATGTTAGAATTGCCTGTAAGTTTCCAATATTAACTTCAATAATAGAGTGCTAACTAAGCTTACTCTTAGAGTGAAAGGACCGCAGGCAACTTTTGAGTAAAACTCTGGAGAAAAAACTAAGATGATATGCATGAGTGTACATATAATAGTATTACAGTAAGTTAAATAAATTTATCTAAATGAAAAACATATCGAGAAATTCTTTTAAAATAGTTGCAAGGACACAATTCTTTCTGTAGTCATCTGAATGTCAATTAACTTCGACAAGTGCTTCGTTCATTTTTTCACTGTATTCTGATAGAAAGTTGATATTGTTGACAGAACTTGACATCATGGATGTGAACAACTACATTAAGAACAATTTGACAATTTTCACACAAAAGTACTCATGAGTTTTATGACCATCGAGTGTATCTTTTTTTGTTTTTTTAGTATATGATCTGTCCGATAGTATAGCTCACAAGCAAAAAGATCAAATAAAGGGATGACTTAGAGGTAATATGGTTGAGAGATAAACTTGAAATCATGCAGGCCACCATTTTCCTTTTTGCCAACATAAATACCTCCATATATATAAGATCATCAATGATATTAGAGATTATTTGGAAGTACAACATGGCAATGACGTAGAGTAGAATCGAATAAACAACACAAGGAAAAGAAATATCCAAAATGTAACATGGGATGACATGCCAAATCATCTAATCAATTAGCTACAATTGTAAAAGTTCAGGTGATCTAGAAAAGAAGCAACTAAACTACACTTACTTGAAAGTTGTAAATCATACATTGCGGAATTTATGGCAGCGCGAATATTGTCCTGAATCAGACTTGCGTTTTATGCCCGAAAAATGTCCAACCATCTTATCACCAAGCATGCCCTTGTCAGCTGTAGCAAGCCCTGGTTGAATATGTCCACTTAGAACAAGATGTGGAGTTTTAAGTTGCGCCTGAGATTTTGTCATCCTCTCAACAGATAGTAATGGATTTTTCATCTTCAGTTCCTTCTGGTGTTGCCGTATACGTTTCTCTTGCTTCTTCTTTCCTGGCCCCTTCCCATGAAATTGATGTGAAAATAACCGAAAAGACTCCTTTGGAGTTAGATTTCGCCCAAATTCATCAGTCCTGTTAATGTGTATCTCTTTTCCCACTTTCTCATCACCACAACGAACGCTAACGAGCTTGCTTTTCTTCTTATCCGTGTTTCGACCAGCCAATTCAATATCTCCCTCCTTAAGTGAACCTCTTTCTCTCAAAAATCTGAGTGCCTCTGACAAACCCTTCCCTATTGGAACTTCACGTATCGTCTTATCTGGTTTAATTTCAAATTTCTCCTCTTTTACAGAAAGTTCCTCTTTCTGTTTTGGTTGCACATCAAACACTAGGTTTTTGTTGTTGTTCTAATTTATCAAACTGAAGACCCCAGACAAAATCTCCCATCTCTGTGAAGACAACTTGTGATTCATCAGATACAGAAATTGGATTATCATTATCAAGGGTTGAATCACTAATTAGGGAAGCAATTACCTCTGGAAAAGTTTTGGCAACGCCCTTTTGCTTTTCCGATGAAAGCTTTCTGACTCTTTTCTTTCGTATGATTTTCTGAATTCTTCCTTATCATCATCATCATCAAATAATATTGCATCAATTCGGTCCATCTTCTCTTTCCCCATCACAAAACCGTTGAGAGTCTGGGTTTTGTTATTTGGGTCAAAAGAGACGGAAAAGATGTATTTATATTTATTTTTTATAGAGAGGCTAGTCAAGTAGCTAGCGCGAAGCGAACCGCAATATCAGTTATTAAAATTAAAATATTATATTATTTTATTTATAAGATTACTTAATTATTCAGAAGCTGGAGAGAAATGAGACAATATGTGGGTCCATCTTCTCTTTGAAATGTAAGATGAATTTTTTTTCATTTTCTCAAAAGCGACTATGTCCTAATTTTAATAGACAGAATTACTAATAAATATTAACAGCGTATCACATGAAATTAATCAAAATAAAGACGCGACACAGCTAATGTCATACAACAGCTATGGAAACAAAATTAAGTCCACAGCTAATTAAGTAGTCATAGACAAAAGAAAAAGATACTTTTGCTCCAAGGAAGACGTGTTTCCAATTGCAGTCATCCTTTTGTTTCTAAAGGAGAATCTCATGTAACTTTATTATGCAGTCAAGAGGCAAATATTTCAGTCTTGGTGAAGAAAAATTATTGGTAGGTCTCTTCGAGCTCTAATTATAGAAAAAAATTGATAGGCAGTATTGTTTCCCTTCAAAATTCAAATAATAAAATCATGTATGGTAGTACATCACATTTCCACAAACATATACAAACTTTATTTGCAAAATCATGGGAATAATCCTTGCAAAACCAAATTAAAAAAAATCAAATAATACAATAACAATAATGTATTTAATCAAATCCCAAGACCAATTTCATATATCTCCAATATAAACAAAAAGAATTACTCAAAACATATACAGAGACCTCATTTTAATAATCCATATCGTCCATGGCATCATCATACCCTTGATCATAGGCATCCGTATCATGAGAAATCATTTCACCAACCAACATACCACCAAGCAACCCTCCAGCCAAACCCAATCCCATTCCTGCTCCCATCCCTCCAAGATTGCTCTTTTTCTGTGGCTTTTGCACTTGTTGCACCGCGGGTGGGTATCCTCCGTAAGCTTGTTGTTGTTGCTGCTGCTGTTGTTGTTGCTGAACATATCCATATCCAGACGGTGGATATCCTGATGTTGGATATCCAGCTGGAGGATATCCACCACCGTTATAACCAGCAGGAGGATATCCTACTCCTCCTGCAGGTTGTTGATACGCCATGCCATGATTGGGATTCGGCGTGCCATACCCCATGCCAGGTGGTGGCATATTATTAGCCCCTGTCTGGCCATATGGATAAGCCGTAACAGGCATATTTTGATTGTAATTACTATTAAGTTGATTTACATTTTTGTACATTGGTTCAGAAGTTTGTTCATATTTCTTCCCAAATTTATAAGAAAACTTGAGAGTACCTCTAGGTTTACCATTAACAGGGGTAAAAACTTGATACTCCACAATTTTCTCGGCGCTGCCATCAGGGCCGGAATTAGATTGGCCGAAGATATCATTTATAGGGATTGAGACAATTCCGATATCCTTATCACCGAAAAAGCGAGAAGATCTGATACGGAAACAGAGGGAAAGGCCAGACTTTGTGAGAGAAGGTTCGTCTAATGTGAATTTCATTGTGTAATTCCATTTAGGACTTGTTCCACCCTTTTTATCAATGAAGGTTCTCTTAGTATTTTTTGCATAACCTAAGATTGAAATTTCGACATAAACATCCATGGTAGAAAAGTAATTGACATTCTTTATGCCTGCGGCGGAGATCACCGTAACATCAAAGGGACGCCAATCCATTATATGGTTGAATTCAACAGATTCAGAAAAGAAAAGGGAATTGATTAAAGAATTTCTTCTTTTTCTTCCCTTCTTTTTTCTTGTGCTGTTGGAAGAATTTAATGGTGAAAATGTGATAAGTATGTTAATGAAGAGAGACAAAAGTAATTGCTTAAAGTTGAATCAAATGTGTGAACTAGATTAATGGTCTCTATCTTCTCCTCCCTTCTTTCTCGCTAATGAGAATTTCAGCTGCTGTCACACAATTTCTCCTTCATCCTATTATCGTGGAAAATATTTTTTTCATAAACACAAAATCTTTTAAATCTCACTCCAAGAATATGTGACCAGCCATTCGTATTTATAATACTAACAAGCTAAATTAAATTAGAATCGGAAGATTTATTCCAATATGAATAGACAAACAAATCCCAGCTATAATCAAATAAAAACCAAATAAAATATATTATTCCAACATATCATATTAAATTAATTCGGTATGGTATGTCATTTTAAAGTTAGATTTTGATATTTTTATGGTATGGTAAATCAGCAATCATATAATTTATTCGACTTTGAGTTACATATGCTTGTATAAAGAAAATTAATACTTTGATTTAAAAAAAAACGTTTAAATTATTATTTTATACTAACACCTTAGATATGTAGAGATATTCAAAAAGGCACACCAACTCCTTTTGTTAACCAAGGACACAAAAAAGTGTTTCAATCAAAGATATAATAGTCAAAGTTTCATGGTTTAATTAACTAATTTTGTGCTAATAGTGATTTATATATCTTTTAGTAATATATGAGTTGTATATATAACTATACATTTCAATAAAATATTCGGTATTTCTTTCTACAAATACTGAATAACGTATCAATACCCAAAAAAATTTAAATGCATGCCAAACATCATAGCTAATTTCATAATATCAAAAATATCAAAATCACGATGTTAAAAATACATTGATTCCGATATGGGCAGATCTATAAATATAGATGGAGGTGCCACGGACCCCGGACTGGGTGTCTGTTAAATTAGCGTGTCAGCCCATTGGCTCACGGCCTCATAAGATAACCAAATAACCCAATTCACAAGCCTGCGATGATTGGAGTTGCTTAGAAGCTCAGTCTTCGTTGATTCTAATTTTTTCATGATAGAGATCATATACATATAGTTTAATAACTAAAATAATACATATGATAATGTAAAATAAATAAATCATATTGCTGATGATTAGCTTGTCTCTGGTGCAAATGAAGCATATAACATAATCTAAACGTAATTTTTTTCAAACATGAGAGTTAATTTCGGAGAATGATTATTTAAATTTTGAAATGTAAAGTTTATTTTATCAAAACATCACATAAAAGATATTGAACCTAAATTTTAGAATACCTTTAAATGCTAAAGACCAAATAAACTAAAGAAAAGCTTGTTTGATTATTCCTATTTCCATATATATAATACTAACACAATGTTTGCAACAATCTTTAAAATTTTAAAGTGACAGAAAATAAATTACAATTACAAATAAAATATTGTAAAACAGAATATTTTATTGATAAACGTTATAGGTACAATTATATTCATCTCTTGATTCTTCTCTCATAAAATTTATCCATAATTTGAGGATCGTTGGCATAATTCTCGAACTAGAATGATTTGAATTTGGAATATTCCATGAAGTGTCTCTTTAATAAGTAGGCATAAGTTAGGGAATCTAAGTGAAATCGAATGCTTTTTATAGAGTCTCAACTAGAATTGAATCTGAACTAGGGTTTAGGATTAAGTAGTCTCCAAGAATATTAATTGAAATTGAACATACTTTGTAAAGTCTCAACTCAAATTGAACATGATTTGTAGAGTCACACAAAATTTCAATGTTTACACATTATTTTAACACACACAAATGGGATAATGTTAAATGTTATGTGAATATGATTGATGTAGAATATTACATTTCAGCCAACTTGATAATCACTGTTTATGAGTAATTAAGCATTATTGTGATTCATAAATTTTTTTTTGGAACCTCAGGATATAACCCGCAGCCGCTACAACTTTTGTCACAGCCTCTGCCCTTTGGGTGAGCACTTTGTGCGCACTGGGTAAACTCCCCACTGTTTAATAGTCTGCAAACCACACAGGGGATGTAAACCGCACTAGGCAAGCCCTATGCAACATGCTCGACTCAGAAGGCATTGAGGGGAGATCGATCCCGGGTCATCCATGTGGATAACCACTTTCCAATCCAACTAAGTCATTCCGAAGGACGTGATTCATAATTTCAATCATACAAACAAGCATATCATATAAATTGATATTATTACTGTTATTAAAAAGTAAGTAAAATTTATAAAATATCATTCAAATCTTCTCTTATTCTCCGTATAATTAGATTAAACTAAAAATTATTGACCAAATATAAAACTTAATAAAGCAATCCCTCGATTTAAATACCCATAAAGAGAAGTAGAAAATCTTAGAAACTAACTAAAATATAGTAGAAGTGGGGCCCTCTTTAAAGTTTAATCTAGAACAAGTGAAAGAAAACAAAAAAACAGCAGTAGAATGTCTACAAGTAAAGCTAAACGGAACCTTCTGCCCGTAAATTTTCTTCTACCTTACACTTGCACCCCCTATTTTTCTTCAATCAGTTCATTCTCATCCTATTTTCTTCTCTCACCGCCTCTCTTTCTCTCTCTACGCTGTAACACGCAATTCCTCCGCCATCTGCCGCCGTTCTCCGCCCTACCTCATGACCTCTACCCTCTCTGCCTCCTCCGCTTGGCCCGAAAGCCCTTTCGTTCCCCCTCCTATGTCGGAAAATTCTCCTGATTCCGATGATCGTTCCTCTCTCTCTGACCTCTCCGATATCTCAGCTGCCGTAACTGACGCCGTTGATGATGATGAACGTCGCTCTCAAACCTCGGTTGCCTCTCCCACTAATACAGCCGCCACTAGCGTACAGAACGTGAACCCTAGCCCTAATTCTATTTCTCTTCCCGTTGATTCCTCTACTCCGAATGTCCTCTACCTATCCTTCAACCAGGATTACGGATGCTTCGCGGCAGGCACCGATCGAGGGTTCCGGATCTACAACTGTGATCCACTCCGTGAGATTTTCCGCCGCGATTTTACCGGCAATTCTAATGGTGGAGGTGGAATTGGTGTTGTTCAGATGCTTTTTCGGTGCAATATCTTGGCGTTGGTTGGTGGAGGTCCGGAACCTCAATATCCCTTAA